GCAGGAATGACAAGAAAGAGATAGACAGATCTTCCCTAATAGCCTGCAGAAGCAAAACCCTGAACCCCACAATGCCCAGGAGCACCCAGGATCTGCTTACTGGGGTGGTAAATCCTGTGATGATGAAAGCTGGAACTCCATGAGCTCTGGCACCAGGAGGGAGCTCTTCCTCCAACCAGGTTCAGTGCCCTGGCAGCAGGCAAGGGGCTGGGAGCTCTGTGAAATGATGTGTCTGTGTTAGCTGAGCCTGAACCCCACAGCAGCACCAGAAGAGGTGGGTGAGTGATGGGGGGAAGCTCCCTGCTGCAGGGGACAGAGCCCTCACCTGCTAACCTGTCTAGGGAGGTGTGCTGAGAGCTCAGATCTAGGATGGTGTGGGGAGACTGCTGAGGCTTCTCCAGCCCCAAGACTATTACCCCCTGCTGCTCTTCCACACAGGCAACAACAGCACTGCCAGGGGAAACCAGGATTGTATCAAGAATGAGTGCATGGCTCTGGGGGTGATAGCCAAGGGTGGTCCAGGTGGTCCTCTCCTCAATCCTGCTGGTGAGGAGGAAGGGCTTGAGAAGCAGTGGATGGATTCTGTGGGTCAATATGCAGTAGCACAGCTGGTGTTGACAATAGGAATATGTCTTTTACAAGGACAGAACCCTCTCTGAGGAATAAGGACCTGACCAAGTGAGGCAAAAGTAACTTCTGTAAATAGGTGATCTGTTGAGGAGAGCTTCACACTAGGGAGGAGCTTTACACAGGAGGGAGATGATCACCCACAGTCAAGTGAGGAAGTGGTAGACCAGACTGGGAAGTGAAGGTTGCAGGGTGACATGGGCATAAGAACTTGAAACAGCAAAGTATAAACAAAAGCGGATCTCAACCATATGCACACAAATAAGGAAATGGTGAGAGGACTTATGGGGAAGGTCTCACACTCATTCTAGAAAATCAGAGTGGGTGCCTATGTGAAGTTGCACAGTAATGCAAGCAGTATAGGCACAAACAGGAGGAATCAGAGGTCTGTGCAGCTGCAGGGCTACAACCTCACTGGGATCATCCAGACACGGCAGGATAGTGCATGTGACTGGAGTGCTGCAATGGATGGATACAGGCTCTTTAGGAAGAGCCTGTACCCAGGGAGCGTGGTAGGAGAAGCGGGGAGCAGTTGCCCTTTATGTGAGAGAGCACTGGGAACGCCTGGAACTTTGCCTAGGCACTGACCACAAAATAGCTGAGGGTTTACGGGTTAGGATTAGAGCTCTGGCAGATCAACATGGGTGACATCATGGTGGGTGTCTGCCACAGACTGCCTGGTCAGTAAATAGTAGATAAGACCTTTTCAGAAAACTGGAAAAAGCCTCATGTTCACAGGCCCTGGCACTCATGGGGGACTTTAACTATCTGCTGAAAGGGCAACACAGCAGAGCACAGGCAATCCAGGAGACACCTGGATTTCCACTTAAGTAGCTTTTTTTTTTTTTTTTACCGTAAAGGGTGGTCAATCACAGGAACAGGTTTGCCCACAGAGGTTGTGGAGTCTCCATCCTTGGAGATGTTCAAAATCCAACTGGACATGGCCCTGAGCAACTTGCTCCAGCTAACTTGTGCTGAGCAGGGTGCTGGATGAGGCACCTCCGGAGGTCCCTTCCAACCCAACATTTCTGTGCTGTAGCCAGAGCAGTTATGCAGTCCACTCTGCCTCTCATCTGTGGGGAGGACAGAAACCTCTTGTTCTTCTACCATAATCAAGTGTACCTGCTGCATGTTGGGAGAGGAGACACAGGAACCTAAGCAGCTAGAGATCATCAGAGTAATTTATCCAGCTTGTCTTCATCCTAGGAAAAAAAGCCAATGGCCAGAGATAGCTCAATGGGGTACAGGTAGGACAGCCCTAATTTAAGTGTTCAAAGCATCCTCATGCTGTAACTGGGAGAGGCCAAGGAGGCAGTGCCTGGGCAGTGCTTCCTGCCTCAGTGATTCCTACTGGCATTCAGGGAAGAGAGCGTGCCCTCCAAACATCCCCCAAGTTCTTACCCAAACACCATGGTGCCATCCTTCCGGATGCCGAACTGAGCATTTTGCAGGCCTCCAGAGTTTCTCACCAGCTTTCCATTGCTCACAACATTTCCAAGGCACTCTCCAGTTCCCATGTCGAAGTACCCACCGTTCTGGGCCACCAGACACTTCCCGAGCTTTGCGGTCTCTTCCACAGGGGCCCTGCGGTTAGCCTGGCAGCCTCCCACACCGCCCGGCTCTAGCACAGAGAAGGTCCTCAGAGGGTTCCTCACAAAAGTGAAGTGGCCATAGACTGCCCTGTGGTCCTTGCCCCCCGAGGGGATGTAAGAAACAAATGTTCTGGTGGTAGCCACTGGGCTGCCCGTCCTGTTGTCGCTGGGCCAAGCTTCGTGTGTTACGTTGCCATACTTGACGGGCTGACAGTCTCTGACGTGCCGGTGGTGGTGCCGAGAGCCGTGCCGGGAGGGGAAATACGGCTGCAGCAGAGGGTCGCCCGGGGGGGTCCTGCAGTGAGAAGATGCGGTTGCCCCAAGGCTGCCCTGGCAGAGTGCGCC